TCTATTAAAAACCTCAATTAAAATCTGCTTTCAGTTCGTCCCGCATTTTCAGTCATTTTCGCTGTTGTATCTCGCCTCTGGTTCCACTGTGCATTGCTGAGCAGTGTAACTGAAAACGCAATGATATACGGCCGTGAAATTGAATCGGGGCATGAGAGAGATTTCATACACACACACACACACACTCGCACACACACACACGCAGACAGGGGAAGGCTTTAAGTGCTTGCCGCTGTTTTACTTCTTTCGCAGAGTCATGCCGCTGCAACAACTGCGACGGCTGCCATTTACGGTAACGGATCTTTGGCAAATTCCTTGGACAAACTCAACAGACTCCGACTCTGACTCCAGCACCGACGCCGACTCCAACACTGACTCCAAGTCTAAGGAGTTCGTAGTCGCGGTCCTTTTGTATGTGCATTGGCTTGGATTTTTTGGCGCTGCATCGAAAATTTATTGCGCCGCTGCGCCGTGTTGCGTGTCCGCACAGTCGCAGACGATGGCTGCGGACAAAGACAAAGACAAAGACAAGGACAAGGACGAAGACATCCAGCCCAGCGGGTTGCATGTCCTGCCCGGCCCGGCTCGGCACGTCGCCAGCTCGTTGGCCCGCCTGCAGCCTGGGTAGGCGTTGGCATTGCGTTTTCGCCGGCCGTGTTGAAATTGACAGCAAAATAATTGGTTGATTATTTATGAGACAAACGAGCGAGACGACTTGGCCCACACCGTTCCCAGTCGCCTGCCCCAAAAGTTTGTTTAGGCCGCATTTAAATGAATGCAAAAAAAAAAAAAGAAGTTAGAAATACACGAAATGTTTATTGTTCGCATTTGTGAGGCAGCAAAGCTGTAAGACTTGGCAGGTTTACGAGTCGAAGGAATGCCTCAATGATGGGGCATGGGTTGACCAGACGAACGGACTCGAAAGCAGGCAAGGGCTTCCATAAGAGATTTACATTTATATAACACAATCAGGCAGCAACCGAGGAGTACTATAATTCCGATGCTATAGAATAGTTATGCCTATCAATGGGGCTCTCTTCAAGTCGAGTTGAGTCTGAGCAGCCGTTGGGCCAGTTATGGCCAACATGAATGTGGGCAAGTGCCTCGAGCGCCAAGTTCATTAGTCAAATAGAAACTAATCGCACGGCACAGAGCACACAACTCAGTTAATCCCCAGAGCGGGAGAGAGAGGACTTAAGGCCATGTCAGAGGCGAGGCGGCTTGGCTTTGATGTTGCACGAGGCATACAACTGATTGTTATCCAAATAGTTATTTAAGCAATTCAAATTGTGGTAATTAAAAATGGCCAACAGCCCACGCATACACATGCGAGTGGGAGTGGGCAGAGGGAGGGAGTGGCGGGCATATAGTCGTACGTACCTAGACAATGGCTGTGGCTGGTCCTTGACATATGGAGCCGGGGCAGCTGAGGCACATGACTTGGGCCCCATGGCCGGCGGCTGGCTGTTATTATTTTTGTCACTGACAAAGCAAATCACCGAAAACCAACAAAAGCAAATGCCGCACAGGAGCACACACGCACACATGCACACACGCACACACACATGCACACTTCCAGCAGGAGTAACAAACGATGTCGCCGGCAGCAGAAGGCAAACCACAATCTCACCCCAACGTCTACTCCTGCCGCTCCTCCATCCCATTCGTAGTGGAGTGGAGCCTCTGGCATAGGCCTATGGAGGAGCCGTCCGTTGTCCATTGCCAGTCCAGGCAATTTTCCTGTTGAATTATGAGGATATTTGTTTCGTCATGAAAGATTGGCCCCAGCCCGGCAGCTGCATTCACTCTCTCATTGTAATCCTTACGCAACGGGCCAACTGCAAGGTTTTTATTCTTCTTTTTTTTTTGTTTTTGTGTTTTGCCTTGTTCTGTGCTCTGGGATTTGAAGTGCTCCTTGTGGTGTGGTGGCATTTTCAATTTGTTGTTGTTGCTGCTGCTGCTGCTGTCGCTACTGTTGGTGTCGCTGGTGCCGCAACAGAATCGTCAAGTTAGCCTTCGTCTAGAGCTCACCAAATGCACTGTCGCACGCTCTGGGGGCGCTGCAAGTGAAATGCACTCCGCTGACTCCAGGGGTTGCGGGATCAGGGCACTGGGTTAGGTGTCATAAGAGGAGCCAGACACACACACACAGCCACACATAGGAGTTGGTATATCTGCCACACAGTGTAACACATGAGTCTTAGCTGGACCACGGGCTGGCCCGATTTCATCTACAATTCATAGAAATTTCAAACGATGCGTAAACGAAAACGGAAAATACACAGCAGCCGAGCAGAGAGGGAACTAGAACGTAAAGGAGCAGGAGCAGGAGAAGGAGCAGCAGTAGCAGTAGAAGTAGAAGTAGGAGCTACAGCCAGGGCCATTGCTGAGCAGCAGGAGTCGGCAGAACGGCTCAAAACGTGGCAAGCTCTTGGTCATCTTTTTAGTCCAGAGTCCGGGGTCAAAGTAAACGAAATTGTTCAACGCAATGCAATGCAACTTCTGGCCAAAAGGACCAAAAATTGCGTTTTTGAAATGCATACGCAAGACAGAGAGAGAAAGAGAGAGAGAGAGAGAGAGAGAGAGAGAGAGAGAGAGAGAGAGAGGGAGTGAGAGAGAGAGATACCAAAAGCGAAGCAGGCAGAGTTAGTTTGGGCCAGGCAGCTAGCAAATCCGACTTTGGTTGATGATGAGTGTCGTTATCGCTTTTGTAGAGCTTCGTTTTTGTCATAGCTCTCCGCAAGTGGGCGACTGCCGGGTCCGGCTGGCCTGCTCTGAGCAACGGCTGCGGGGCTCACGAGTATTTCAACTGCAACTTGAATTTACATTTCGATATGTGGCCAGGCACAGCAGCAGCAGCAGCAGCAGGAGCAGCAACAACAACAACAACAACAACCAAAACAATCAAGAAAAGCAATTGGTGTAGTTTCTGGCCAGGCTCTCAGCCGGAAAAGCGTCGCAGTCGTAGTTTTGGTCGGACGATGATGTAGCTGCACGGATTGATTTACGTTCGAAAAGATTTCTCAAGTGCGACAGTGTGTGCATAGCACAGTTATACAAACACAGCTTACAGTGCTGCCACACCCACCGCCCACTCTCTTGCCCTTGCCCCGCCTCTGTCTCCTGCTCTTCCATTCCATGACTGCACATTTTTCTATATGTTTCTGCATTTTGACTACTTGGCTTTCAGATTGAGAACGAGCGAGAAAGAGAGATGACTGAGATTTATCAAAAGGTAATTTATACATGTGGGTGTGTAATTTATATATAGATATATGCGACCCTCATACACACACACACACACACACACACACACACGTACAATCTTCTGGGCTTGTTTACTCTGCTGTCTGTTGGCTAGCTGGCCGCTCGTTGTGCCATTGCAGTTGCAGTTGCATTTGGAACTTACGCAACAATTTTAAGAGTATTTCGTTGATAATAAATCGCCTGCCCAAGCATGACATACGACCGAAGAACCCTCTGGCTCGGAATCGGAGTCGAAGACAAAGGCTGCATAGAAATTACCCATCGTCGGCCAGCCCGGACATGATTTTCATGTCACACAAACAAAATTTGGATTCCAAATTTGAATTCTCAACAGGGATTCTGTGCATGCGAGTCATATAATTATGCAGTGAGCACCAGACGAATGTCCAGCCCCTTGACTAGAGGCTAAGACTACACTCTAGCTTGAGCATAAACTAGAATCAGTTGAGTATCGAATAAATTGATAAATTGATGTATATGAAAAGAGTTAAATAGAAGTTAGGCAAAGCTTGTATGTCTGATTAATTCAAGATATTTTGATAAATAAGTTATATATTTGTTGATTTTGAATGAAAATGAATGAAAAGTCGAATCATTGGATCCCTCGGACAGGGATCCCTTACACAAGTATCCCCTGGACAAGGATCCCTCGGCCAAGTATGCCTCGGACAAGAATCCCTCGGACAAGGATCCCTCGGACAAGAATCCCTCGCACAAAGATCCCTCGGATAAGGATCCCTCAGATAAGAATCCTTCGGACAGGGATGCCTCGGAGAACGATCCCTCAGATAAGGATCCCTCGGCCAAGGATCCCTCGGCCAAGGATCCCTCGGACAAGAATCCCTCGGACAAGGATCCCTCGGATATGGATCCCTCGGATAAGGATCCTTCGGACAGGGATGCCTCGGAGAACGATCCCTCAATACAAGGATCCCTCAGATAAGGATCCTTCGGCCAAAGATCCCTCGACCAAGGATCCCTTGGACAAGATCCCTCGTACGACGATCTTCGGAGAAGGATCCCTCAGTACAAATCCCAACCAAACAGAAATTTAGCGCTGATTAAACATGGTTCAGCTTTCACTTTAGCCAAGTAAATATTTCTTGCAAATATCAATTCCGATTGGTTTTATTTAACACACAGCCAGGGGAACGCTGGATGTGTCAGCTGCAGATCCTGTCAACGTGCCGAGTCCTTGGCGAAGTGCGGATATGAGAAACATGTCGGCCAGGAGCGCAAATGCATAAATTCAATTTTCGCATGGCAAAAGAAAGAAAAAGTTGCATAATTTAACGCTGTCTATGGACGCGACTGAACGTCGGACGGATGGGTGAGTTACTGTGGATGTGGTCGTGGCTCGTCGTTCGTTGTTCGCCTGTATCAATGGCTGTAATGGAGGGCCGCTGAAGGGCAGCGATATGATGTAAAAAATTGCAAATCGAATCGAGCAGCCAAACGAACGAATGACTGAAGGTGGGCAGCTGACATGAAGTGCGGCAGAGGCCTGAGGTGGGCTGGGCTGGGTCAAGCGAACCAGCTGGTCTGCATACCGAAACGTCAAGAGCACTCGCACGACAGTTACTCGCCTAAGCCCCCCCGCTACCAGATAAGCCCCCTCCCAACGAAACCATTCCAGCTGCGAACTGCGAACAGCGAGCTGCGAGCCCGCAGTCGAACCCGGGCAATGGCCACGGTATAAACATTGTTGACATTTGCCAAACCTACTTTAATCACTTTTTAACCCCATTTGATACAGTGTCAACATGCATGGGGCGGCGGCTCATAAAATGGACAGTCGACAGTCCGTAGTCGGCAGTCGACAGTTGGCAGTCGGCAGGCAGTCCGTAGTCCGTAGTCGGCCGTAGTCTGCTGTCCGATAAGGACAGAACCTGAATGCAACGCACAAATAAAACAGCAAAAACTGCGCCGAGTGACAAAAAATGCCAATGACAAACGTCGAAAAGGGGCGGAGGGTGGCAAGGCGAAACAGGAGAGAAAAAAAGCTGGGCGAAAAATATATGTATATCCAAAAATGGGAGCGCAACAGTAAAAGGACATTCTGGCCACGTTGACCCTCGTGCCGTAACCCGTGCCTGGCCCACTGCCCGGGCGCCTGGGCATGGTCAACGAGCCGAGCTGCCAAAGCAATTGATTTACTGCACTTTGTTTGCCAAAAATTAATTGAGTTGATGACAAGTGCAATTGATTTATGCGGGACTCAAATGAGTGTGGACAAACGCATGGATGAGCGGACTACCGAACGGACGGACAGACAGACGAACAGACGGACGGACGGCTAGATAAAAGGATGAGCTGATGGATGGGCTGGCGGAAAGAAGCTTAAATGGATGGATAAGCAAAAGGCCACTAATATGCGGGCCACTGTCTCCAGTCCAGATATCCAAGACCCAAAAAAAGAAGAAGAAAACCCGGAAATTCTAGAACTAAGGCTGCAAAAATATGTGTGCAAGTTAAGTTCTTGAGGATATGTCGGAGAGAAATTCTTTTCTTTTGGAATAAAATCTCAGGTTACTTGTGTTTATTGGAAGTATAGCTAGAGAACTGACGCGAAAGGGTCTTGAGAGTGAAAGGGAAACGAAAAAGTCAGATAGAATGAGAAAGAAATAGTGCATGGAAAGAGGGAGCTGGAGAGAGAGAGAGAGAGAGAGAGAGAGAGAGAGAGAGAACGAATGAGGGAGATAAGGAGAGGAGAGATAGAGAAAGGTGAGACAGATGTAGAGAGAGAGATAGATAGATAGAGAGAAATAGAATAAGAAGGAGAGAGAGAGCCATAGAATAGAGAATGATTAGCCGAACTGAAAATATATTAGTTTTGGGGTAAAAGCTCAAGTCTCGAATGCTAGCTAAAGAATTGACAAAAATTAATGAGAATCGATGATCTTATGAATTGATGATAGAGTGACAGACAGAAAAAGAAAGAGTAAGAAGTAAAGATAGACAGAGAGAGAGAGAGAGAGAGAGGGAGAGAGAGAGAGAGACAGCTCAAATATGAGACTTAATCTCTACAGACTGATCCTATATGTCTTACGCACTCTCTTACATCACCCATAAAACCATTTAAAATCAATTCTCTTTTTCATACAATACACTAAAATACTCTATAATAGTATTTACATATTACATTTTAGGCACTACTATTTAACTAATGCAGTCGCCTGTCCAGCATGCCGCTCTATCAGGTTTCCTACAACGCCTTTTCCCAGTCTCTCGACTCGCACTCTTTGAGGCCGTTGTCGCACAACGACAGGTGTCAAAGGCAACGGTGTAAAAATGTTACCTGTGTGTGAGCCCCCATCTTGGTTCCATGTTCTGTCACGGAAGCGTGCCGCGCACACATGTCAGGCCGTGCTCTCGACCAGTTGCCTGGTTGCCTGGTTGGATGATTCGCCGGTTGGCCGTTTGGCCGTTTGGTTGTTTGGCTGGCGCTGGTTTAGACCAAAAATGAGCGACGCAACGGAAATAAGCGCCAAGCGGATGCCGACAAACGAAGCAAATGATTCATTTCCGATGATGCGACAGAGTTGCGCACCCGCCTCTACCCGCCTTCACCCGCCTCTACCCTAATCTACTGTCCGCTGTAGTGCGCCTTGTCATCGTCGACGGTCGCTACCAAAAATTTGCATGAAATGCAAAATCAAACGGGTCGCGGCACACCTAGAGGATGTGTGCGTGTGTGTGTGTGCGTGTGCGTGTGAGTGTGTGTGGCAGCAAGGCGTTGCTGGCTGGCATCACGCGTCACGTTTCACATGCCTCGTGGAAGTTGACGACCGACCGACTGTTGCCACTGTTGCTGTTGCTGTTGCCATATTTTATGAGTCCGGTCTGTGGCGCAGCGTGTGTTATTGATATGCTAACGGTAAATGTCATTGGGGTGTGGGCCAGGAGGCGACACTGGGCAGTGGGCAGAGGTGCGGGCCTTCGCTCTGCATTTGACGGCCTGTGCCCCACGCGGAAGTGGTTAAACCGAGCCATAGCCCAACGCCAACGCCAACGCCAGTTCTGACCGGGGCGACATATGTCGCGGCCAAACGTGTGAAATTTTAAGCCAAATTTTGCACAGGGCGCGCCCCCATTTATAATGCGAGCAGCCCCTGGATACATGTGGCAGACAACATATTGGAAATCAAAATGTTGACATGCAGCAGGCAACATTTTTCAATTAAGCCGACAGCAACAGCAACAGCAACAACAACAGCAACAACAACCTGGACGCGTCTAGTATGTGGAATGTTATCTGACTGGGCCAGGATGGGTGAAGATGGCTAAGAGTGCAACAACAACAACAACAACAACAACCAGCAACGAGTCGCATAATGGAGGCTGTTTCATCATCTCTCATCTCGAAAAACTCGTTAAGTACTCCAGGAAAATAAACGAAAACGAAAAAACAAAACCCAAACTCATTTCGATATTTTAAAGAGTTTACTTAAATTTGCATTAAATTTTCAGTCTTGTAATGGGATAGTCGGATCTATGTTGATGATGAGAAACCTCACATTGTCGATTGGCTTAAAATGGAATCGGAGAAATTTCAGTCTGTTTCCTATTAAAACAAATGAAGACACTTGTCTAGCACAAAGGTAAAATTTAATATCTTTATGCCAGGAGCTAAAAAAAAAAAACACTCGACTCAATTTTGCATTTGAATGTGTCAAGAAGGAGTTAAGCTCAGGCGGCTGGAGTTGGGCAGGCAGGGGCGATGGATTTGGTTGGCCAATGGCGGCTGTTCGAGTGGGGCGCCTGATGCCTGCGAGCCAGATGAACATGGAATGCCGAATGTCGAAGATTGGAGCAGTAAGATCAACTAACTCTACCTATACCCTAAATATACATATTGATCTATATATATAGAGAGAGAGATATATATCTATACCGATTGGGACGTATTTTTTCAGATTTTCTTTTTTTTTTTTGCTGTGCTGTAGACAATCCCGTCTCCTGATGTGTGCGTGAGTCCAGAGCATTCACTGGCAATTGTCCACAGCTGAACAGGAATAGCTTGGAGCTGTGCACAGCTGCCAGTGAGTGCGCACAGATGGGATTGATGGGTGGTGGGTGGCGGGTGTGGCTGTGGGTGTGGGCGTGGGCGTGGCTGTGGGGCATTCCGGCATTCCTATTTATGAGATGGTTACTGTWGTGTTACAAAGTGCATTGCATTGCATCATCAGAGCGACCATCACCATCAAGCTGGCCAGTTAAACAACGCTGGCCAGGATGACGGTTACGTCGTCCGGCTTGCCGCCAGGCGCATCGATGTTGTGGCGCCTGGCATTCTGGGTGAACGGCGACTCGTGGTGCGGATTGAAGCTGAGCGAGCGGGCCATCAGGGCCACCGAATTGGCGTACATCTGCAGCTTGACGGGATCTGTGACGCCGGCCGCATGGCTGAGCACCTGCAGCAGCAGCTCCTCGGACACATTGTCGTAGACACCGTCTGTGGCCAGCATCAGTATATCGCCCGGCTGCATATCGAACTCCAGGAGGGCGGCGCACTCGGGCCCATCTGTCAGCACGTTGAGGCCCTGTCCAGGTGGCGGCACGGCCAGCTGGTACGGCGTATTGAAGTGATGCTGCTGCTCCACGGAGCGGCAGACCACGGCCCCGTTGCGTATGACCAGCAGGCCGCTGTCTCCGATGTTCGCCGCATAGAGGATGCCGCTCTCGCGGTGCAGCGTCAGCACACAGGCGGTGCAGCTGCCCAGGATGGGCTGTTTCTGCTCCAGCAGATTGCAGTAGGCGCGGGCGAGCAGATGCTCGGGTCGCGTCGAGTCAAAGTCCGAGGTGTGGGCGAGGCGCTCGCAGGAGCGCATCAGGAAGCGGCTGAACAGGCCCGGATCGATGCCATACACTCGCCAGCCGCCGACGCCGTCTGCCACGCCCAGCGTATCCGCCTTCGATGTGGAGGTCTTGAACCAGGCATCC